CAAGTTGTACCCATAGTTTGTTTGTAGAAAGTTTTAAAATTCTCCTAATTTTATTGTTTTAATTATTCACTTTCAAACTTGCCCCCTCCATCAGTGCGCGTTATTGCAACTGTCCACCTCTCCCTGCCTTACGATTTTTCTTGTCTCCAAATTTTTTTTCTGGTCAAAACTAAGTGTGGATTCGTTTATACCAGACACTAGACAATGTCATATAAAAACATCAGTTGATTTAAAAATGTCGACCAGCCACCCTTTGGTCGATCTTATCTGAAATCACCCATATACAAAAGGACGGAAAAGTAAAAAGGTATTAAGGTGGCTATGCAGGCTAGTTGGTTCGTAACTAAATTGAGAAACAGCGCAAAAAAGAAACACACGAGTGGTGAATGGGACGAACGGTGACTGATAAGTAGAATTTTATTGAAGAAACACACTAAAAAACACCACAGCAACCTCAACAAAAATAATAAACAAAACGCGTAGGAACTACAAGATAAAAGCCTCAAGGCAACCTCAAAGACAGAGTTGTAGCACATTAACCTAAAATCACTAAAAACAAAAAAAAAAAAAAACAAAAAAAAGTTTCCTTTTTTTTTTTTTTAGTGCAGGTTCACAGACTTTTGGTTGGCGCAGGTGTCTGTACCTGCTTTGTTAATTTCAAAAGCCTCAAGCAGTTCGCGTGCTATTTTATCATTTCCCCTGCCGATGATTTGAATGTTATTAAAGTTAGGACAAAAACGACAATCCGCCACGTGTAAAGCCAGGTGCCCCCCTGATGTTTATTTTAACGACAAATCATGCTTTCTCGTTCTTTCATTGATGCATGTCCCGGTCTAGTTGATATACACTATTCACCACGACAATGGGATAATAAATTATTCATATTGCATATTCCACATGTTTGTTCTGATGGTTTATCACACAGAGCTCCGCGTTTGTTTTGCCCAAATCGTGGGGAGCCGGGAACACGATCGCAAGATTATACCGTTCGGCTACCTTTTTTAAGTTGTGAGAGTCCCTGTGTATGTCTCACAACCCTCACATCTCCCACAACTTTCTCAAAGTGCGAGAGTCACTTTGTGGTTTTTTTTTTATTAATGCGAAAGTCTTATTTGTTCCATTCAGATAAAAAGCAGCGTCGTTGTGCCCCAAAGGTGGCCATACAATACGTGATCAAGCAATAAGCTCAAACGTATGCTCAAGGACGACGGCGTCCTTAGCGTCGTCCTCTAGGCCTACAATAGGTCGTTCTCAATGCCGTCCTTGACGTCGCCCTAGAGGTTGTCTTAGACACCGTACTTGGCGTCCATCTCTAGGACGTTGTCCTCGACTTCGTCCTAAACTTTAATACGTGTAGAAATTTTACTCGAAAACATCCCTCCCGTTGTGCCCGAAAAGATTTCGCCTTCCTATACGTAAGCCGTCTTGAGTGTCCTCCTGTATATTGTGTTTCTTCAATAAACTCTAAATAGTCGGTCAGCGTCCGTCCCGTCCACTTTTAAGCGTCGTTCAGTTGTTTTTGCGCTGTTTCTTGGTGTAAAAATAATAAACAAAACTGAAAAAAGAGGAACAGGCATGGCATCAATCTGCCATCTTCCCCTTTCTTTCTGTCTCTGTAGCATTTTACTTTTTTCCACCCCAACATCGGGGTTTATCTTGTTCAATAGGCGCGACCTCGCATCTGAACGTAAACCAATCATTTAGAAAACAACAATTCAATTCTAGACGGTATGAGGTCACCCACCCAACGGCATTAGTGACCTACGTTTTCCCCCTTCTGTGGATGAACCAAAATAATTTTGAAGTGTCTTATCAGTGCGCCCTCCACTTTCCCGACCTAGCATCCTTCGGTTGCGGACAATGGAAGGAAATAGGTCAGCCAGCAGGGCTTACTCCAAACCCTACTAAAAACAAAAACGAAAAAACAGAAAGGGGACAATTAAACTTGCACTCTGTTTTGACCCCTCGTTTCTATTTTTTTTTTGTTTTGTTTTTTTGAAGGGGTGGGTTCAGTATTATAACTCACCAGCTAGCCGGTGCAATAACTCTTACTTCACCTTACTACCAAACACTGGAGAGGAGGAGGAACGAACTTAGCTATTCGTCCATCCTCAAGGTCATAAGGTTACTTAGAAGTCAGACCGGATCCAGTGATCCTTATAAAAGAGGAACATCCCGAGTTTGCGGCATTCCACGCTGTTTTCGCCCTAGAAGCTGTCCGGTCTACACCATGGCAGAGCTCGGAGAGTCCAGTTTCTGCAGCGACAAGTCCCTGCCCTGCTACAGTTTGGACGAGCAACTACTGCGTATTCTCTGGGGTAAGTACATCCGCCGTAATCATGCATGTTCGCTTAAGTGCATCTCGGATTGTCACCTCGGTTGACTGGAGCCACTGTAAAAATGTTTGATACTTATTTGCTCGTTGCTTGTTTGGTTACATGTTTGTTTTCGCTCTTCACTTTCAGATCAAGACATTGGCATGAACGAACTTCTGGAATTTTCTTTCGATCGGATCGACCGACTTGCAGAGACGTGCGGCATGGAAGTCAGCATGGAGCAGAAACAAGAACTCTGGAGCTACGTGCAAAGAATGCAGGTTCGTTCATGGCATGGCTCTTATTTCTCTCTCTGTATAGTTCAGGTCGCATGACCTGACCTATACACGATCAGGTTTCTTCGCTAAGTTCAGCGGAAAGACGTTGTGTGGCCATCAGTTTGCTTGTAAAATTTCACGATGAAAGGGATAAAAACATAGATGCTTCAGCCCGTGGAACGAATCTTTAATCTCTTCTAAATAATTTAAATGATCGCACTTTTTTATCATTTATCTATATGAATACCTGTGAAGCAATAGAAACAAATTACTAGGTTTTGTAGCGCGCGCACTCAGAATTTCCCTTTCAGTCATGCACTCTTCCGTCATCCTCTAAAGGGCTGCTTTTCACTAGGAGTATTACTTTTCACTGTTCATATTTCTGTCCCCGTGCAATGTGTGCGGAGAATCATTCAATGTGTACTCAGGCCTCGTCTTCGTAATTCTGCAGATGGAAAAGTCGGACTGGCTGTCACCGTCAAAGGTCTCGGCAGACCGTCCTCGGACGTACGGTTCCTGGGAAGATTCCATCGGGCCGCCTCCGCCATCCCCCGTGTTCGGGTTCGCCAACGACTCGCCGGTGGAGTCTTCACCAAGGTCGCCCTCCCGCGCAGCTAAGGCGGTCACGTCGCCCGGGGCTGGATCGTCGACTCCAAGACTTGATGCCATTCGAGAGGGCCAGGGACACACTCCACGCAGTCACAGATCGATGTTGAGGCCTTCGCTTCTAAAACTGAGTCCCATAGGAGCTCCTGGGGCACGCTCTTCCAAGCGGCCGATTGGACAGAAGATCAAGTCCTTCTTCACCGGCACCGTCTCGTGGAAAGTGCCCCACGACCAGCGCTTGGCCAGGCGTGACCACAAGTCCAAATTGAGGGTATGTATATGCATTTTATGAATAGGGTTTAGTCTTTTACATCGATCTTATGTTAGCCAATTCTACCAGGCCCGCTCAGTGAGAACGACGAGAGCGTTTTTATTTTACTAGTCTAGTCTGCAAACATTATCTAGTCTGCAACATTATCTTGCTTCGGCAGGCAGTGGCAAGCGTAGTCTAGTCTGCAAACATTATCTTGCGTCGGCAGGCAGTGGCAAGCGTTTTACGTAGCTGTGTAACTATTTATAGAGACCATAGTGTAACCTGGAAGTTAATATGCCTTCCAGTCTCACCGTAACTTGGCAAACCGCGAAGGCTACGATCCCAGTTGGCTAATCAGTGCGTCGGAATGGGGAAACGTGACTTTTCTCTATCTCACTATAGTCACTGAGTTCAGGGGAGGTTTTCCCAAATCTTTCCACTTGAGCAGAGCGAACGTTCGAGAGGAGGCTCTTTTGTGCGCAGTGCTCTCAATGCTGGTGGGAAAGAGGGGCAAGCAGAATTTGTACGAAAGTCGTTTGCCGACTTAATCCTCTAGGGGTCATAACGACGTCTGAAACACTGAGAAGAGGATTTGGCTAAGATAGGAGTTTCTTCTTACCCTCTTCCTCAACTGCTTGTGTTCCACTGTCATTCATGTACCCTTAATAAGGGCTGTCGCGTGCTTAGACGGTGTGTGCAGCGGCTGTGTTGTGTTTTGTCGTTTATTATTTTAAATGTCTGCGCAGGTACCAAGTTCCTTGCTGCGTCTGGGAAGTTCAAGCGTGTTTGGTGCCTTGCACGACCGGATTCCGGCCCTTTTCCGGAAGTCGCTCCGCCTGAGGTCCGGCACATATGTGGTGAATCGGCGGCTGCGCGGGCGACCTTCACCAAAGTGCTGATGCGGCTGCCGGAAGAATAGTTCTTGCCGTTGAGTACCCACCTTTATTCGTGGTACCGAATAAACTTCTTCCAAGTTGTTCATGCATTTGGTTGTTTTTCGTGATCGAAAGTTACTCGCTAAATTTGGCGGGGATGATATATTGCAGACATTGACGCGACGTACACACAGTCAGCGCGAACAAGCGATTGCCAGTTTTTACTGTTTTTTTTTTCTTTTAAATTAAACAGCAGCTATCAAAATGACCTGTGTGGTAGAAACTCCTCATTCAGGGCAAAATCCCAAGCTGCCAAGTTTCGTTCCCACACTGTCCGAGTGAGATGTTGCAAAGCGCCGATGTCGTGTTCGCGCTAAACCTCTGGCGCAGTGCCTGTCACGTAACCAGTCACGCGACGTCATAGTATCACATGACACTGTGACATTAGGTCTCGTGACGTCATGGTGTGCCACGACTTGGCAGCATCACGTCGTGTGAGGTTTAATGTCGGTCCCGGTCTCGGACTATCTGATGAAACAATATGAATATGGTCCCGGTCTCGGACTGTTTGATGAAACAAGAAAATTCGCGAATCTATTTATTACTTTTTACTCTGAGAGTAATGTAGCGGGGTGCTATTAGTGATTACTAACGAGTATCTGTCGAGCATCACCTTTATGCAGGAAGGGACTGTCGATCCTCTGTCGCCAGCGTGCGCAGATGTGCCCGATAGTGCCAAACACCACGCATCCCACAACCATGACTGTCGCCGTGTTCACAAACACTGAAATCACGGTGTCCCTGGAAGCATAACAGAAAGCGGACACCTTCACTGAGGCTTCTTGCCACTAATTGTATAGCGACGTCAGAAAGTGTGCTAATACCTGTTTCTGTCTTCTTTTTTTTTTTGATTTGACTGTTTACAACAGCACGCTTGTTGAATTTTGGCCCTGCTTCTCATTTGAGTAGTTTTGTTTAGCAGGCCATTGCGTAAATATTAACATACCAGAGGCACAAAAATGCCTACCACTAATTGGATGCATGCCGTTTTAATTCGGGAAGCGAGGCATCATAATTTTACCAAACTCCATTTAATTTTATACCCCCCCCCCCCCTTGCCTTTGCCTGATCCATCAGCCTTCCCTCCCTTATAAGTTATACCACGTCGCAAGTCTTAAGGCCGTACCTTGGAGCTTATTAAAGACAATGTCATTCAATGAATCTATTTCATTAGAAACGCCAGGTTCCTACACTTTGGACAACAGGGAGGGACTGCAAGACCCACCTCATTACGCTTATCTGTTTCTTGTTCTTGGAACTGACAACGTAATTGGATCCGAGCGTGAGGCCGAGTGAGTGAATAGTCTGCGCCAAGGCGAAGATCCACAACTGAAAAGAACAAAAAACATTATCTGCGCATGCGATCTTCAAATAACCAGGTACGCTTCAGTTACATGAACAGAAAGTATACGGTCGGGCTGATTAGGGATTATAACCTAAAGCCTAAGACAAAGAAAGTATTGCCCGTTATTTTATTTTTTTTTTTTCATAATGACGAAGATGGCCCCCACCCCTCTTGGAGACGGACCATGCTCCTGTATTATTTTTCCTCTTAGCAATAAACTACTACTGGATCGGGATTAAATTATGATGCGATTTACTATAGTTCAAAGCTCGCTCGGTGTTCTGATCGTGTTCATAAGTAAACGAGCAAACAAAGCACGGACGCTTGTAGCTTGAACTTTACTGTACAAAAAGCTGGATCATGCATTAAAGTCATTTGTACTCAAATGATTGGTGTCAAGCCCGACCGTATTGCTTTGTGAAACTCCCAGCATATTAATAGCACAGCTTTGTCTTCACTCATTGTGTTTTCCATGTATCACACGCAACTACGCGCCTTCTTGAAGCGACATAGATTGGATCATTCGAATAATCCTTTATTTATTATAAACCAGCAGCACCATCAGGCATTATCACAGGGGCAAACAAACATACCAATGCCATCAGGCGTTAACATCGTATTTTTAGCTTTATCGAACTTTAAACTTTTTAAGAATCATACCTAAACGAACAGCTAGGAACGTATATATCATCGCTTATAAATTATTCTCGGAAGATATGAAAGTATCAATCTTTTCTCCTGTGCGCTATAAATCTTCAGCACTTGGAAACCAATGGACGAGGGCAGTGACGGCTGCAAACTTCTAGAACCAGACCGTTTGCTACGCAGTACTTCAGTCCACGAGAGGCTCGGTATCCTACCGACCGTTATGGGCTTTCCGTTTCAACACGGGTTCCTATGAACCCGCAATGAGAGGCCATCTATGACTGTTTTTTTTTTTTTTTTTATGATCCATGGTCTGTTCAGATAAGATCAAACACCCGTGTCACGCATCCAACGGCATGCATCCAACGCGCAATTAACGAAAATAACCTTTTTTTTTTAGATTTAGGTAGAAATACTTTACTCTACATCGCGTCTTTTCACATTAAAAACATGATGCATTATTTTGTCTCCGTCAAAAAATACTGCCCTTCGAAATGTGCCTTCCAAGTTCCAGACCGACCATATTGTTGCAGTCCGCAGCCTCAATACCTCCTTCGTGTATGAAAAAAATATTATCTTTTTCAATAAGTACCCAAGTGCACATTTCAGATATAGGACACTATAGAGCACATCCATTACGTGCACATGCTCAACCCGGAAAGGGCGCCTAAGAGCTGCACTCCAAAACACGTTGCATAATTTTGTTTTCGTAAAAAATACCGCGCTTCAAAAATCTCACATTGGGCTATTAGGCAGTTTTCGTAGATCGTTTAGGCACTCCCGCAACGATCTCCGCAACCCGCTACGATACCTGGAACTCTACAGTCAAGGTCATAGGCGCGCAGGCGCAGTACCATCTTCTTCGTTGCGGAGGGCTTAGCGGAAGGGGCAGCGCGGTCTACGAAAACTCCCTATTGACATTTTAACGCGATAGCGTTTAGGAGCCCGTGTGGCAGAGAATCCGGTGTCGGTGAGGCCGAAAAATCTAGGATTTTGACGTCACCTCGTGACGTCACGTGGGACGTCATGTGGGCTAAATGTTTTCGCGAAATTTGGCGGGAAAATGTTCCGCTAAATTTGTCGGGAGAGTTTTTTGCTGAATTTAGTGGGTCGATAGGGTGAGTACGTCATAGTCACTTGTGACGTCATTTGTGTGACGTCACGCCACGTGACCTCGCACGGGAGTTTCAAACCCACAACGCTCACGTGTGACGTCACGTGACACGTGACGCTACTGACTGGACCACGAGCACACGCGTGCACGCCTTGGGAACGAGCGCGGGTTTACATGAAAAGGCGTTGCGAACGGGGCCCGATAACGCTATCGCGTCCCACTCTTAAAGGCGAGGCTTAAAGGGATACTTCAACGAAATTTGAAATATTCCCGTCGTGTTCAAAAATAGGTTGAATATGATCCACAATATCCGTAAATGACAATCGCACGTTTGTATTTTGATCCTGGTGGCTGTATTTTTCGTTATAAACGGCCCACTCTGGCAAGCGCTCGGAGAAGGCCCAGCTTTGAGCACGTGACATCCAACGCAATCGTGACGTAGTCGTCTCAAGACGAGCAAAGCTACGGCGAGGCTGACGTCGAGAGGATGGCCTAGTCGTTCCAGCCACGGAAGTGGCTGCTTTTGTACGAATTTTGAGTGACGGGTTAATCTTCTATAATCTTCTAGGGGGACAATAGCGACTTCTGCGACACACAAAAGGGATTCTCGGGAAGAGGGGAGTTCCTCCTTCCCCCCTTCTCTCGTCGTGGCCGGAGACGAGACAACCTCCGTCACTAGCTGTCAAGGTTCCTAGACGAGCATTACAAACGAGGCGTTAGCGTTATCCACCAGGTGCTCTTTGCTAATCGTTTAATTCGTTTTAAAATTCCTTTTCGATACTTTTTTAACAAGATATTGGTATGTTCCATGTGATACTGCTCTTTTGAACACATATAGATTAAAAAATGAGAGCCGAAATTTCGTTGTAGTATCCCTTTAAAGGGGTAGGGAAGCGAAATTTCAGCGCTCATTTTTTAGCTTTAATGTGTTGCATGTTGCACCCTAACCTCAAAAACACCAGTCTTCCATTGAAAAACACAAGAAAACTAATTTTAAAGCTAAATAAACGATCGTTCAATGTGCACCTGGTGGATGCATGCGGAGCCTATTTGGGAGGTAGTCTAGCAACGTTGTGGAATCTGCTACGTAGTCGTGACGTAGCAGATTCCTTCGGAGCAGCGCCGCCCTTTGGAATTTCAACATTTTCCTTCTTAGCTCAATGGAAAGGAAGGACTCCCCTCTTTCTCGGACCCTCATTCGTGCAACCGGACGCAGCCATTCTTTCCCTAGAAGATTAGCCCGTCCCTCAAAACTCGAACAAAAGTTGCTTTCCCCACCCCGTTCAGCCATAAGCTGACAGTGTTGTGGAAGCTACGTGCTCCTTGGGCCAGCCACACGCTGGTCACCCCACGGGCACTTCGAACGGCTCGGTTGTAACGCGTTGACGCTATTGACACCACTACATCGCTGACAACGCCACCAAGGGCAAAGCTCATAACCACGCCTGCCTTGCTACTCCACGAACGCGGGAAATCTTTTCTTTCTGCTTTTGTTTGCGCCTGATATCCCATGACGCATCGCGCTCTCTGTTCACCTCTCTTCGAGCGCTGGCTCGAGTGCACCGTTTGGAACGAAAAATATAGCCAGTCATTCAAAATACAAACGTGCGATTATCATTTACGGTTATTATCCGTCATGCTTGACTCATTTCCGAACGAAATTTGTATATTTCAATTTTTGTTTCCGTACCCCTTTAAGTGTCCCCAATGTTTTTGACCAATGTTAGGGTGCTGTTATCTCGAGCCGTTTTTAAGCTTTACTATTCAGTTTTTGAATGCGAAAGCATTAACTCTCCCACGGAGCCAACCGACGTCATCAGCTCTGAAGCAGCGCCAAACGGCCCCTTCCCTTGTCCCCATGTCGACTGTAGCAGAAATTTGATGGATAGGCTCCTAATGGCTGGTGCGCGTCATCAAGAAACGAGGCTTCCATTGACTCTCGTGCGGCGTGGTTCCAAAAAACGCCACCAGAGAAGCCCTCTTCATGGTGGCGCAGCGCACGCAGCGGCCCCAGAGCCCCCAGGTGCCGGTAAAGAGGTGCCGCGGTGCAGGCCTGGCCGAAGAGCCCGCGCGGGCAAACTTCGGAGGGGGTGCACGGCCGAGCTCAGCGCGGCGCGGCCACTTCCCGAAAGGGCGCACTCGGCCGTCGGCCGGCGAAACCTGGCCGTCCACGCCACTACGACAAAGACGAACCAAGGAAGCGGAAGAACGACATTCATGCTTTCGCATTCACAACCCATAAGTGTTTTTCTCATATATTCTTCTCAAAACGATCTCTCATTTAGATATAAAATTCCGCCCTAGTTTATAAATGAAACTACTGACCGCGCTTTAAACATGCCCCAAGGCAAAACGTTCCGCAGATTCAAGTGCAATTATATATATTTTTAGATTACGTGAAGTATTTTACACCACATCGCCGTGTTTTTTTTTTCATTAAAAACATGTTGCATAGTTTTGACTCCGTAAAAAGTACTGCGCTTCAGAATGTACATACCTTCCAGGCCGACATTTTGGTTGCAGCGCGAAGCCTCGATATTTTCTTCATTGTATAACGAAGTTCTCGTCATATTACTTTTCCTCGAATTTGTGTCCAAGTGCAAATTTCAGATATGCGACACTATAAACGCATCCGCAGTAGAAACGCAGTAGTTTGAAGCATCAATTCATGGATCCGTCCCGTAACGAGCACGCCTTCGTGCTTGTTCCATAGGTCGGCTGCTCGGCGTACAGTACACACGCGTAAATTTGTTAGAAAGAATGTAGTGTTTATTCTCGGTTCCACTAAGATGGTCGGTTCCTATCCCGAGAGCGCAAACGGAGATGTTGGGTTCGTTTCTTCTTGGGAAGTTGTGTTTCAGTTTACGCGTATACTGAGCAGTGACCTACACGGAACAAGCGCGAAGACAAGCTGTCACGGGACGGATGCATGTGCATCTAATGAATGTGTTTTATAGTGTCATATATCTGAAATTTGCACTTAAACACTAACTGAAAAAGTTTTTTTTTTTTTTTTTTTTTTTTTTTTCATACAACGAAGGAGGTATTGAGGCTGCGGACTGCGACAGTATGGTCGGTCTGGAAGGTACATTTCGAAGAGCAGTATTTTTTGACGGAGACAAAATAATGCACCATGTTTTTAATGTGAAAACACGCGATGTGGAGTAAAATAACTTTACTTAGATCTGAAAAAAAGGTTGTTTTCGTTAATTGCACGTTGAATTTGAGGACCTTTTTACCTTGAGACATGGTTCAAGGGCTATTAATATTTTCATTTATAAACTATAGAGGAAAAATTTATATCTAGGTGATAGATCATCTTCAAATGAATTATTGAGAAAAAAATAATTGAACGGGTATTTTACAAGAAGGAAATAGCACGAGATCACACACTTGTGGCTCCTTAAGGCCCCTTCACACACTTGCGCTTGACTCCGACCACCTGAGACAAGACCGGTTTTTAACCCTCTTAGGACGGCTTACGACCGAAAGCGCAGCAATGCAGCCGGCCGTAAGTCGTCACAAAACGCCTATAAACTGGTTTTGTCTCAATCAATCGTAGTCAAGCGCAAGTGTGTGAACGGGCCTACCACTAGAGAACACAGGCTCTCAGAGCATACTGGCACGCTAGCTCCATCTATGCGGTCACTAGAGCGAAGGTTTTGGAATCTTTGCGAGGTCAAATTTATCTTCTATCTATGATAAACTGTCGTTTATAACATTCACAAGAGTTTTTCAAGCGAAACAAAACAAGAATGATACGCGAAAGAAAAAAAGGGAAATAGGGAACCGCCAAGTGTTTCACGGCAACCCGATAGCTAGCGCCAGTCTGTTCTCTCGTCGTAAGAGATTTTAAGAGGTTTCAAGGCCGACGGTCCTAGGAAGTCGCGATTCCAACATTTCACGGGATCGCGACAGTTCCTTGAAGAGGACAGCATAGAAGCCCCTTTGTCATTGCAAGAGCCAGGGAGCCGAAAGAGATTTCCTGCCGTTTTCTCCCCGTCAGTGACTGTTAGTGCCGAGATTAGAGTGCCTGAATGTTGCCGGGCTGGCGGCCGCAGCCAGCAAACAACACTGATGCACTCTAGCCGAGATGTTTCGGTGGCGCCCTAGTATAGCTCTTCTTCGTGACGTCACAATCGTGATTTGTTTCGCCGTGACGGCATGAGTTGTGAACCTGGCTACTTATCATCAGCCGGGAATGAAACGTTTGATGGCGTGTGTAAAGTGCCCAGTGGAAGCTTAATTGGAGTAACCGCGTTGTTAAACTAACACCGTCAACGTCGACGGTGAGACGTGACCCTAATTTCTATCGATGAAAGCAGCATTAATTTTACCAAATACATCGTAGTGAGCGTCTGGTCATTCGTGGAAAGCCGTCCACAGTGACGCTTCTGGTCGCGCACGATGCCAATAGAAAGTATTCACTGCATGCAGTCATAGCTGTCTCCTCTGCGCCGTTAAGCGCGTGCTGTTGTTCTCGATAGATAATAAGTTGCTCTACCCACCAGTTGTGCTGATGACATGTGGATACTTGTTACAATGTCGCGTGACTACCTGTGCAGGCGCGGGCTAGACCATAAGGGGGAATTGGGCCACACACCCGAGCGTTCTTGATCTCCTTGATGTTGGGCTGGAACATGTACATGATTCCCTCGGTGGCGCCTTCGAGCGTCATCACCCTCATGAGGAAGGCGATCATGATGAGCATGGGCGCCAGCGAGAGCACGTACTTGATGCGCCCCGTGAAGAAGGTGTTCTTGCGCAGGGACACGTACGTCAGGCACAGGCACAGCCCGATCGAAGCCAGCAGCTCCCAGCGCACTTCTCCGGGAGAGTCGATGCCGCCGCTCACCTCCAGCAGCTTGTGACTGCGAGGCAATCGGAATCGGTAAGCGAGACTAGTGGCGAAGGACTACAACGTCCTGGTGCTTGAAATCTCGTCTATAGACAGGATTCTGACTTCTTCTAGATGCATTTAGAAGTCGGAATCCTGTCTAGAATCTTTTAGATCAAAAACGTCTTCTAGATCACCAAAGATCATCTAAAAGGTGTCCGTCACCTACAAAACGTAAGTCATCGAAATCATCTGTACTCGTTTCACATTAAAAAAAAATAATAAAAAAGAAGTTTTGCTCATTTCCTTACGCTCCACGAAGTAGTTCTTACAAGATTTGGTTGCCCAAGTAAGAGACGATGCTTTTGGCGTTTGAAACGTATCCGTCTTGATAAAAATAACAAAGCTGTCTAAGATGCACCTTTATTTTAAAGATCAGTAACGTTCCGCAAGGAGCCGGGTCTTTTTATTACACTGTAAAAAATAAATATGTAAAAAACAAAAAAGCTTGGCAGTTCTCTTGCCACAAACCATATGTTTTCGTCTGTTTCTCTGTTCCCGTTTTTTTTGTTTTTTTTTTGTTAAAAAAATAACATTATCGGTTCTTGTCCTTTCTGTAATATGCCTGAACTTTTATTGCCCAGCCTTGTAGAAAAACAGTTTCTGTTCTAATACAACTGAGTTTTTCTTTTAAAAAAAGAGAGCAAATTTCTGTTCTGGAAATTGTGAAAAAAAAAAACAGTTTCTATTTTTAAAAATAACAAAAATTTTGTAAACAAAAAGCGCGTTTTTGTTCTGGAAGTTTGTGAAAAATAGTATCTGTTTTTTTTTTAGATTGCGAGAAAATGTTTACAGCGAAACTGTCGCTGGTATTTATCTCATGGACTATTGTTATAAGCGCATGTTAAAAGTGTGAGCTATTTGCGCTCAAGCTTGCAGAGCCTTCGCAACTAGTCCATGGTAAGGTGAGACGAAATATAAATACACAAAAAAGCGGAAAAATACGCTACAGTGAACTCACACATACAAAGTACAAATAGCAGCAACAAAACAGCCACACCATTCATGCACCTCCCTTTACGCATACTACGTTCACGTAATCGCTATATAAGGCAGCCTTATTTTTGAATTCGGCTTGGCCGGTGACTGCGACATTTGTTACGTGAAAACAAAGATGCTGACCAAATATCTGCTGTGTGCCGCCATTCGCTTCCTAAAACCTGCACCGTCACGCAGTCGGCGCTTCAAAGAATGTCGCTACGTGTAGGAAGCTCTCATATGGGATCTTTACCCAAAACTGCTGCTGACGACCACGCGAAGTCAATTATTCGGCAAAATTTTATATATCAGCTTCCAGCGCTTGCTGTATGTCCCTCCTAGTTCTTGTGTCTCGTATATGGCGCTGGGATTGCCAAAATGGAGGTCCATGAGCTGCGGCATTCACCATAAAGAAGTGCAGTAACTTGATCGTTGGGGACTTTTAGCAAACCGTTACCGCGTTCCGCTTACCTCGCTACCGGAGCCTTTGAAGCATGATTTTTAGAGCCCGTTTAGCGCAGCAGAGACTATTGTGAATATAATCGATTGAGTTCGCTACTACCGGAGAATAATGACGAGCCTCTTGGCTTCTGCGACTGAAGTAATGATTTCTGAATGTGGGTGTCTCTCCGACGTTTGTCGACTACACTTTAAGGTTGATATAAAATTCGAAATTTTACATTGCGGCGCTTATCACATATTCAGCAAAGAAAAACAATATAATATTTACTTTTTGGAATTATTATGCACGAGAATGGAAAAATCCCCAGGGTTAAAATGTTTAATCAACACCCAGCCGTATTTGCGAATAAACGTTCCTTCAAATATAATTTATTTTAGCTATGACTTTGTTGACTGATTTAATGATCATCCGTTTTGCAGGAATGAGGAAAGTTCAGTATTTCTGCAGTAATTTGACTTTGTTTATCATTTTTATTTACCAAAAATATATGGGATGCGTGAATGTCAGCAATCAAATCAAATCAAATCAAATCAAATTTATTCGTTGTCACATTTTACATGACAACAGGGACTGGGGCAAAAAGCTGCTAAAGAGCAGCTTGACAAGGGTCCCAGCCCCCGTACAGTTTGCGACAGCTTCAAACAATTTAACGACTAAAATTTAGTTTGCAACTACACAGTGTACAGAGACTAGTACACAGCAATGCAGAAACTTGATTTATGCAATACTAAATTTGTTGAAAACATATAGACGAAAAACACACAGGCCAGTGAAAGAAGAACTCGAATAATTAAAGCAATGATACAATCGTACATGAAATAATACATCCAGTTCATAACGAAAAATATCAGCAGTATTCAAAAATCGCCTAGAAAAGTAAGTTCTTTTAATTCCCTATGTGATAGTGATTCAAAATGGCGACCTTTTCTGTACAAACTATTTAACATGGTGGACAATCTGAAATGGAGCGTCTGATTTAGGTAATTTGTACGCGTTGGGCGAATCATCCAGGGTTCATTTTGTCTTAGGTTGCGTAGGATGACGCGATGTTTTAGGTTGACTAGTTTAATAAAATGAACATTATTGTGTTGAAGAGCCCTGCGATACGTTGACAGAAGCTTGTAAGGATACATTTGCTCAACGGTTTTGACATTTAGGGATTTAAATAGTGATTTAGTTGGATGAAGAAATGGAGTTCCTGAAATTGCACGTACGGCCTTCTTTTGTAATAGATGCAACTTATTCAGATTACTTTTTGTTGTGGTGCCCCATATCAGGTTACAGTAATTTAAGTGAGAAGAAATTAATGTATTATATATAGTTAATTTAATTCGAGTAGGAAGTAAACTTTTAAATCTTGTAAGCAGGCCTACATTTTTAGATATTTTTGCTTGCATGTAGTCTATGTGTGCATTCCAGCTCATATCATAAGAAAACAACACACCCAAAGTTTTAATACAATCCACAAACTCAATTTCTTCATTGTTTATTGTAAGATGAGGTAGGTTATTTATTTTCCTATTTTTGGGCCTAAACAAAATAGCTTTGGTCTTTTTACAGTTTAATTTTAGTTTGTTGTTAAGCGTCCAGGCGGCGATTTTTTTTAGCACTTCGTGCACTGTAGCAATAGAAGTAGAAAGATTGTTATGGGAGAAAAAAATACTTGTATCATCAGCGTAAATTATCAGCTTTACATCATCGCTTTTGGCCACATGCACAATGTCGTTTATGTATAGTATAAATAGCAATGGGCCTAAAATGCTACCCTGAGGAACACCCGATTTGATAGAAAGCCTGTCCGAATGAAAATTCAGAAAAGACACGTATTGATTCCTATTTTCTAAGTATGATTTTATGAGATCGAGTGCTACGCCTCTTATTCCAAAAAATGGTAATTTGGCAAGTAAAATATCATGATCGATGGAATCAAAGGCTTTTGAGTAATCAAGAAAGACGCCTAGTGTCATCTTTCTTTCGTCAAAATCTTTCACAATTTGTTCTTTCTGGTTTAATAAAGCCAATTCGGTAGATCGATGTTTACGAAAACCGAATTGCGCATCGGAAATTAAAGCGTGCTTATCAAGATGTGTTATGAGTCTATTGTGTATTAGTTTTTCAAGTGATTTAGAAAAGACAGGAAGGATTGAGATGGGCCTATAGTTATTTATGTCAAGCCTATCACCACCTTTATGAAGAACACTAATTTTTGATACCTTCATTCTCAGGGGAAAACAGCCTGTTTCTAATGCGAGGTTATATATGTATGTTAAATATGGTGCAATAATATCAATGACGTATTTTATAGGTTTTACCTGCATGTTATCAGCGTCGACGCTTTTGCTATTTTTAAGATTTATGACGGTCGAGTAGACTTCTGACTCATCCGTGGGGAATAGGAACATCGATTTCGTATACGATACTGGCATGAAATCTAGAACTTTGTTTAGGCAGGACGATGACACACCAGAAGTACCAACATTTACAAAGAAATCATTGAAAGCATTTGCCATGTTCACTCCTGTTATTTTAATGGAGTTTATACTTATTTCATGGGGCACGTTTTGAAATGGCTTATGATTCAGTACTGACCGTATCTTCTTCCACATAACGTCAGGTTTCTTAGTTTCTAACGGATCGAAAAGATTATTGTAGTAGTCACGCTTAGCATTTCTTAGCAGACTTGTGAGTTTGTTGCGGTATTTCTTAAAGGTTTCAAGCTTGCTAATTTCTTTTGTTCGTAAAAAATTTTGATATAAATTAGTCTTAACCCGTATCATTGAGAGTAGCTTTGGCGTGACCCAAGGCCTACGCGACTTCTTAGATGCTTTGAGGTTGACAAAAGGAAAATGTTTACTATAAATTGCACTAAATGTATCGAGGAATAAATTATATGAGGAATTTGTTGATTTTGTTGAAAAAATATGTTGCCAAGATGTCTTTTCAATTTCTTCTCGAAAACTACGCAATTGATCAGGGGTGATAGACTGAATTTTAACCATTGGAACAGGGTCACTGCGGTTTTTCTGGGAGTGCTCACTGTACAAGCAAAAATAAATGGGAAGATGATCACTGATATCAGTAGAAAGAACACCTGATGATACCACCGATTTTTCATAGTTCGTGATGAACAAATCAAGCATAGAAGATGACGTATTTGTTATTCTTGTAGGATGTGTGATAATATTCGACAACCCATTTGAAGCAATAAGATTTGAGAAAGAGATTTTTTGGCCAGAGTTCGAAATCATATCAATGTTGAAGTCACCACCCATGATTACCTTGTAATTGTTATCATTGACATAATTGAACAATGTCTCCGCAAAATTAAAAAATGGTATGACCGGAGAATTTGGTGGCCTATATACGACGGAGAGCAGAGTATTTTTGAAACGTACAGTTACAACCTCATAAAAATCAGTAATTTCACAGAACGATTCTAATATCTCACAATTTTTTTCATTTTTTACCAACATAGCAACACCACCGCCTAGCCTATCATTTCTATTTAGGTTGAAATGAGAATATCCCGGAAG